AAGAATTGCAATCATTCAGATTGAGTTATGAGTAAAACTCACTACAACAGTACTATATTCACAGATAAAATACTCAGTGTTCAGATGTAATTAATTAATAGTTGTCATTGAGTATGTGACCTGCCCGATGAAATGCCTATCATCGTCTATGTACAAATCTTTTTCACTAGACTCTAAATTACGCACTGAAAAAAAAAGAATTATATTTGTAATTCATAATCTTTTACAGCATTAATTGTATAAATGATTTTACAATTATATTTTGATATTAAAAAGTCATTTAATACTGACAAATAAACTCAGTTATTGGTGTGAAAAAAATGATTAAATTGCGTATGATTTCTGTAAACGGATTGATTTTCTTTTCCTTTCTTTTTTTTTAATTATTAATTGATTTATTCATTTTTTTTTTTTTTTTTTTTTTTTTTTTGATTTAGTAAATAAATAATTTCATTTGGTTAAATTAGGATGTGTCTATAATTTGCAAACTTTAAGGTAATATGTACACTGCATCACACAGGAACATTATGCAGGAAAGGGGGGGGGGGGGTAGATTACCGAGATCTTACTTCCGTACATGGCTTAATATAACGGGCACTTGTTTCAGTAAGTATACCATTTGGAAAAAATATAATAGAAACAAATGCCCGTTCTTTGGGGGAAAAAAAGGATATTCATATCTCCAGAGTGACCAGATACATGTAATTCAATAAATGCACTTTATTCAGAATATGGTAGATATATCGTTTCATTACAGAATTAAACTTTGATTTATCGTTTAAATTTAATATGGTATACAAGTCGGGGGGGGGGGGATAAGGTATTGTAATTCTTTAGTTCTCTTTTGAGGCATTTTGTTTATCAAATAAAAACAATATACCCACCACCTTGTAAAATCCTTGATCTCAAACCCCGTCTAGACAAAAAAAAAATGTAATCAATAGTCGCGGCTCTTAATTCCATATATTCATTCAATACATTCAATATACATGTATACATGACCAATGAAAGCTAAAAATCATGTTCAACAACTGCGTGATTAATAAAACAACTACTATATAATTATTTAGGATTTATTTCTATATATTTTTTTTATTCACGAATAGACTGACAAATTATTTCACTGTTTACAGATAATCGGATAAATTTAAGAAATAAAATCCACGGGTATTTATTTGTACCCATTAAATACATGTACTAATAAAACAATTTAATTTCACGAATTGAAAATTAATCGTTATTGTTGGTTGTCATCTTAGCCATGATTGACAAGAGCTAATACATTTAGCAGAACACGTTTTCAGTTCCCGGCACGCGGAGCCCGTGATCGCTGTTGTAAATGACCTTGATCACAGTCGTAAGAAGAGTGTTGGAAGTGTAAAGAAGATTCCAAAATATTTTTAAGGGTAAGGGGTGCATCGGGGCGCATCCCGAAAAAAGCAATAATTTTCATTAAAAAAGAAAATTATCTATAAAAACTTGTTAACAACGAAAACTTAAAAGTTTGTGTGTTTTCACTTGAGACCCCCCCCCCCCGGGAAATATTTAAACCTGTATTTGCCGATGTGTGTGAATTAAAATTCATTTACATGACAATTATAAATCAACCAATTTCATGCATAAAAAGACTATAAATGACTCATCGTTTCAAAATTATTTGTAAGAAAATTATATTCGTTTTTAAAGAAAAAAAAATAATTGTGCTCCCCGGCCTAGAATTCCCATACTTCACATTTATAGCAACGCACTAAATTTTGCATTTTATTTTTCACGCCTGTCTTATCTATCTATTATTTTGTATTAATCACCCATATGTTCTTGTACTCTCTATATACAATAATTGTAAAATGGTGAAGAGATTCAAATTAATGATTGAAAAGAATTCCTGATGAATTTTCTTTAAAAAAGTGTTCAGTATTGCTCCCTATAAAAATTATTGAATCAAATACCTTACAATTGATTTGCATATAATTAATTACTTTGAACACATTTTCTTTCCATCTTTATTTAAATAAAAAAGAAAGAAAATCAAACACATATGTAATACATTACCGAGTAATATTATTTTGTTGTTTCCGTATTTTTTTTTCTCTTTTAAAATACAACCGGTTTGATAAATCCGAATAATATTGGTAACAAACAACACAGAATGACATGTTGTTCCATCAATTGCCATATTTAAAATAAAGTGACTTCCGAATGAATCCTACACGTTTCTCACACGATTCTTACACGAAAGTCGCATGTTTCTCACATGCTTCTCGCAGGCTCGCTACACGGTTTGCACGAAACGCTTTGGAGCTTGCACGAAACGCTGCACGGTTTACACGAAACGCTACACGGTTTACACGAAACGCTACACGGTTTGCACGAAACGAAAAGCGCACGAAAGTCACGCGCTTTTTTGGGGTAGTAGCACGTTTCAGGGTCTGTACATGTAAAACGGTTTTGATCACATTAATGCAGCTGTATTAAATCCAATGATAAAATATTTAACATTGTAATTTTTATCAGTGTGGACAAGATACGAAATAAAACAAATAGATGATTAAACCTTTTATCCTAAATTAAACGGATAAAAAAAAAATTATCCGTTACTGAATATACAATTTATTAATATCGGATAGTACAAGTGAAGTGCAGAATGTATTGTAAAATATATACCTAGCAAATTGATATTTTACCCTTCTACTTCAGCCATTTAAATAATTTCCGATGAAATCTGAATTGAAAAAAAGTGTGTGACAGTTGCGTACACGCGTGCGAGAACTGTAAATAAACCCGTATGAGTAGGTTTTAGAGCCATCGTAAAAATAGCATTTATGAGCCTAAATCTGTTTTTGACAATCAATGTAAAGGGAGAGTTATCTCCTACTTAAGAAATAATTAGAAAGAGTTATCCAATCTTGCTCACCGCTAGGGGGCATCGCAAACTTAAACAAACGAGAGAGTCACGCTGTTATTGTAGCTGGAAGTTTTTTCACAGTTGTTCAGTTGATGTGTGTTTTTTAGCTACCAGCGTGTTGAATCGAAAGTTTTGAAGAGTTTGCAATCAAAGTTGGTGCATGGACAATTAGGAGATCTGTAGAGACAAGAACATTTGTATTTTCTTAACTGTGATAGAAAGCGCGCATTCAGCGTGGGGTGTTACGCAATATGTAAGAATACGTTCCTTGCTTTTTGACTATGTTACCGAGGTAAAAGTGTACTCAGTAGGAATACCTATTTTTCAGTTGTTTGAACTCAATTTTCTTTTCTCAATTTGAGAAGCTATAAATAATATTCCACTTGGCTTGGAACTGTGGTAAATTTAGCCGTGCATGCTGATTGGCCGGTTTTTACAATGGAATGCAGATGTTAACAAAACTGTCGAGAATGGTATGTGTGCTGATTATTGGGAGTTCACATGTTTTACATTTACAGAAATTTGTGTCATCGAAAGCAGAATTTAAGAACTTTGGCTTATATAGTTCGCTTGTTGATTTTATATATCGGGGGCTCGGATTACAAATTCTCAACATATGAAAAAACTCGAAGATGCGATTCATGCATCCAACCCTGATGTTGCATGTGTTGTGATTATGCAAATATGTGGAAATGATTTAGACTCGTGTGATTAATATGCATGTAAATTTGTCAATGGATACAGACTAGTCAATAAGATAATTACTTTAGACCTCGAGGTTTTGTTTGTATGTTGTTTAACATCCCTCTCGAGAATTTTTCACTCATATGGAGACGCCATCAATTGCCGGTGGAGAGCTGCAAATTGTGTCCTATACTCGGCACTTACGGTCATTGAGCAGTGATGGATCTTTTTCGTGCCAGAACCTACTGCGACACGGAACCTCGGTTTATATGGTCTCTTCCGAAGGACCGGTTTCCACGTCCCACGGTGGGATTCGAACCTGCGACGCAAAGATCAACTCCTTACTCCACGACTCTAGAACAGACGCTCTAACCACTGAGTCACGCGGGCGACAAAACCAAGAGGTAATAATATTCTAAAGTCTGGGCAATTGTTCTTGATGCTACTGTCATTATAGGATTACACGTGCAGGACTTATGTATGTAAATATTTCGCAGGTTAAGCACTTTGTATGATTAGATGGTTCACTTATTTACAAAGTTGAAAATATATTGTGATGGAAAAGATTGTAAATATGTATAAACATATATTTATTCTTTTTCAGTTTGAGAAATTAAAGGATAACCAAGGCGGTAGCCCAGGTTATTACAGCAAAACTATGTAAGTGGTTGATCTTCATCAAAATGGGTCAAAATGTTAGCTGTAAAGTACAAATACATGTAATGTTTGCAGTGCCTGAACTGTTGTAGCATTAGCTATGAAACTGAGGCGTTAGCCTGAAGAGTTGTACCTTTGATTTTCAAGATGTAACGTGGAATATGTTATACTCTGTGTTCATGTTGGCATAATGATTTTTACAATCAGATTTGTTTTCGACTCGGATGTGACAATATATGTTTTTAACTAGTTTTTTTGTTTTCGTATTACGTCATTTAATTAATAAATGCTCAATTTCAATTCTAATATGTTTGCGTGATTATGAAAATCAAACAGAGCCAAAATAAATGAGAGGATAGGGATTTGACAAAAAACAGTTTCCTGTAAACCGTGAAGCGTTTAAAGCAAACCTTGTAGCGTGAGTTCATCGTGTGTCTATGATATCAGCACGTTTTAGGGTCTGCTTTACTGTTTGCATTTCTCCTTCATTGCTCAAAGGACTAACAATAAATCTGACCAGACACTAGCTAGTTTCTGTTACATTTCATCTCAATTTGAAAGGTATCTTCTACAAGATGTCTTTTTGGGCTGGCCTGCAGTCTCAAGGCCTGCTCTAAATTGCAAAGAATTGCAAAAAGAGGTAATGTCAGCGAAGGTACCTTACAAAAATGATTATATTATGAAAAAAATCTCCTTATTTTTCCTTTTAATGCGTTAATCCAAAAGAAAATTACTTTGTTTATAAAGTACTTACAAATATTACACATAGGACCCTTCCAACCGGCAGAACAGAAGCTACAGTTTCAATAAAATCGGTCACAGGTTTCACCATTCAAACAGTTTCCACTACATATTCCCTTACAGTCTATTCCATATTCCCCGCTGTCACAAGCTAAATTTTAAAATAGATATTATTTATAGTTACTTAAACCGATATTTTTTTCAATTATATCGTCAATTTCCTAGTTGATTAAAACAAGAACAAGAAAAGGTCAATTAGAATCAGACACATGTATCACCTATCATCAAAAATATATTTGACTTAATGAATATAAAACACAAACTGTGTAACAAATGTGTTTATGCGATAAGTAAAATTCAATGTTCTAAAAAAGGGAGCTGTCGTTTTGTCGATAGTAAAATGATAAGCAACTTTGTATATTACATACGAAAAACATATATATTTTGAAAGATGTACTTCATGGAAGTAAATATATTGTGTATCTCTTAATTTATAAAAGGGAAGAACATTCTGATGTATAATCTTTTTAATGCACATTTAACTTTTAATTCTGAATAACTTCTCCCACCTCAATCCCAAACATCAAAACTTAAACTTATATGTATAGAGCAACCCGGTCCTCCGTGCTGCAATAAAAAAAAACGATTTTTTTATCGGAGAGTTCAGGAGAGGTGTATAACACGTATAACAAATTACAGGTCTATTCTGTTATTCTACTTCAATTGTTAAAATACGAATGGAACTTGAATGGAAAATCGAGATCTATACCAAAGTGCATGATAATTGTGAACAACGCGACTGAAAACTGAATACAAACCAGTATGTACGTGTAGCTATTTTGTGCCATCACGATACACAACTTCGTCTAAACCGTGAAGCGGTTTTTAGCAAATCTTGTAGTGAGCATGAAGCGCACTTGCAGGTATGACTGTGATATTAGCACTTAAAGGGTCTGCATCATTGTCTGTGTATCTCCCTCATGGGTCAAAGGTTAAACATTATAATAAATATAACTGAACACTAGCTAGTTTTTGTCACATTTCGTCTCAAGATGTCTTTTTGGGAAGGCGCTTCTCAAGGGCTGCGCTAGAAAAAGTTAAAAATTATTGGAAAGGATCGCAAAAAGGATTATATCACAAAGTTCTTTTAAAAAAATGACTGTACTCTATATAAACCTCTGCTTATTAATCCGTAAATGCGTCAAACTAAAAACTAAATAAAAAATATCTCGTTTATAAAGTACTTACAAGCATTACACATAGGACCCTTCCAACGAGCAGAACAGAAGCTACAGTTTCCATAAAATCGGTCACAGGTTTCACCATTTAAACAGTTTCCACTACATATTTCCAGACAGTCTTTTCCATATTCCCCGCTGTCACAAGCTAATGATGAGATTAATATTATTTATATTTACGTAAACTTTCTTTTATCGTTTCGCTGATTTCCTGTTTGATTAAAACAAGAACAAAAAAAAATGTCAACAAGTCAATATGAACTTTATGGTACTAGTATTTTAAGTATTTAAGAATTTTAAATGGTAACAATTTGTTCATTCAATATTAACTTGACTATTGTTGTTGCCGATACTATATACAGTACCGACCAGACAACCTAACAGAAAGCGAACCCAGAGCGCACCCTGGGTTCGCTCTCTGGGTTCGCTTCGGGTTCGCTTGGGGTCCGCTAGTGCTGACCCCGAGCGAACCCGGAGCGCACCCCTAGCGAACCCGCAGCGAACCCAGAGCGGACCCAGAGCGAACGCTGAAAGCGAACCCCAAATTCAGTAGCGGTCCCAGAAAGCGAACGCGCGTTCGGTATTGCGTAACAGAGCTGTCAATCAGGATTATCGATTAACTCATCAGCGCTTCGACCAATCAACATGCTGAACAGGTCTGTCAATCAGGATAAGTGATAAAATGTGTTGACCATCAGCGCATCGACCAGTCAACATGCCAGTTTATAATCTAAACATTGTACAAGCAAAGCGTGTGAATATACAGTGTAAAAATATTATTAATATGATTTTTAAACATGATTTTACATTTATATACTCTAATTCTCCAGGCAACATGCAATACTTACACACCTATTTTCATTATTTTTTATTTTTAAAATCTATTGATACATTATATATTTTTATTATCCAGGTAGCATATTACATGTATAGTTAAATATTTATTTTCTTTATATTTTTATAATCCATTAATATATAAATATACATTGCGTAAACTTATCAGACAATAAGTACTTTAATTTATAATAGAAAAAAAAAGATAATAATGGTTATAACATATGTTACTTTAAAAAAAAAATGGTCTTCGATAAATTATAGAATTTTGTTATCTCAAGATACAGTATAAGAACATGTACGTGCTTTAATTTAATTATTTTTTTATTAATTATTTCTATTTACATGTACGTTTTAATTTATCCAGATCAACTTCGAAATTATCGATCTTAATAATTGATCACAAAAAAAAATTTAAATGTACACTGTACAGGATAAGTGTGCATTATGTCAATACGTAAATTGGAGAAAGAAAATCTCATTTAGCTACTATGATATTTTTTTTAATTAATCTTTTACCAAAATTTGATAAATAGCTTGATTTAAATGCATGTATATAGGGAAAGATTATATTGTCAATTTTAATTATGCTACATGTAGACCTTACATTGTATGTTTTTGAATTTTTGTAACTACTTGCAAGTCAGTCAAAAAAAAAAAAAAACAAAAACAAAAACAAAAACAAAAAAAAACAAAAACAAAAAAACAAAAAAAAAACAAACGCAAAAATGCTTATCACTTTCCTTCGCGTCGATATATATAATTATACAGGTTTATATGTTCATGAACCTCTTACATGTACTACATGTAATTTTCGAAATACTTTATATGAACATAAAAATATACTAGACGGGTACGTTTTGTACTTGTGCATGAAAAGTACACGTAATTCCAACATTAGTAAATTGAACTTGCAAAGATACCTTAATACAGATATTTTTTCATTACATAGGTACCTGTATTTGAACTTTGTAATTGTCATAATTATTTAATTTCAACACTTTAATAATTGTAGTTTCAAAGTGAAGCCAAGGTCATCACGTATCGGTAATCATCCACCTGTTTCGAAAATATTGCGGGTATTAAGAGCAATTGCGGTGGGTTTTTTTAAATTGACACTTGCTAGCTGGATGTATACTGTCTCCATGGTCACGGTATACCTGAGTATATACTCCCCCCTACATTCGATGCCCCTTAAGTTACATGTACTTCGTCTGGGCACGTTATAAATGCGAAATTCAAGGGGCGGGGGGCTCATCGAAATAAAACAATAAAAAAAAAAACCCTAATAAAACCAAACCTCGGGCGTTATTATCTTAATTTCATCTACTTAATCATGCGAATTTACAGTTATTGAATTCTTGTTTTGTTTGTTTTCTTTCTTGTATTTATTTATTTTTAAGCATTTAGAATTTTGTTTGTTAACATGCCGCTCCAGTATGTACATGTATGTAGTTGGGCGGGGGGGGGGGGGGGGGGGGTCATGAACCAGTAAGGAACACAAACTATTCAAGTGATCATTTACATGTATTTGAAAACAACTTAAAAAAAAATAATATATTCTTATCAGTGGACCAGTTATTAGTTTTTGTTTGTTTGGTTTGGTTTTTTTTTTTTGATTGTTGTTGTTGTTGTTTTTTTTTTAAGTCTTCAGTTAAACTCGCCTTATAAAACATTGATTTATAGCATGGAAGTAAATTATAAATGATCTGTAAAACGAAACTCAAGTTACACTGTATGGGAATTTTTAGTGACTATCACGACCTACATATACATGTAATGGACGACAACCTAGCTTAAATATAAACTGCTAAATATAAAAACTTAGCATTTTACGTGTACAGTATGTCACAGCTATTTTATAGATAAGATCGTAATTCAGTTGTTTGTCTTTCAAACATTTAAATTACGATTTAGCAATTGCAATTACAATTGGAAGTTCCAACTTATTTAAAAACGCATGAATAATAAAAACAAATGAATTTGAAAGTTTTTTTTTTATTAAGATACTCTTATCAATTTCACTCCATCCGATACATCGAAAATAAATTTAACACCTTTTCTTTTTTTCTTTCGAGATATACTTAGCTTGTAAGTTAAGAAAAATAAAAATGATAATTCTACGTCGAATGTACGGTGGAATTCTTGAAAAATTATCAACGTTCTCCATATTGTCACTTACATGTACAGGTTTCGATCGCCATAAAAACAGTGATGATCGATTCCACTACTATATTTGGAATATACAAGGGGCGGGGCTTACTGGCGGCAAGATTAAAGCGGGGTCCGCTTCACGCATGAGTGCGTAAAGCGAACCCAGAAAGCCAACGCCGGGTTCGCTCTAGCGGACCCAGAGCTGACCCCGAGCGAACGCAGAGCGAACCCGAAGCGCACCCAGAGTGGTCCCAAATTTTCTGAAAGCGAACCCGCAGCGGACCCCGAGCGAACCCAGGAAGCGAACCCGGGGTGCGCTTTGGGTTCGCTCTGGTGTTAGGTTGTGTCCGGTCGGTACTGTACAGAGTAACAGAACATACCCTTACAAAGGATGACACACGATGATATCTGAACAGTTAAATTCCACTTGAACTATTTCATCAGAGACTACTTAATAATTTCAGATTTATAATTCGTTTTGAAGTTAAGAATAAAAGTTTGTAGATCTCCTTAACGGTTGAGGGCTCTCAGGCATTATGTTTTAACGCACCACCAGAAAAAAAATTTTGTACATATCAAGAGATTTTTTGTGGAAATCCGATAGGGCCATGTAGTTCACTATCGCACCATCGAGCATCGACTAAAGGGCCAATGGCGCGAAAATGCGATAGCTCGATGAAGATGAAGCGATGGCGTGATGACGATGACGCAATGGTCCGATAGCACTGACGATGATGCGATAGCCCAACAATGCGATGACGATGATGCGATAGTACGATGGAGCGATATTGAACATCGACATCGCTTCACCATTTTCGTATCATCGCTTTATTGTAATCACACCATCATGTCATCCCTATCGTACCATCGACTCATCGTTTCATCGTGCTATCGCATCATCGACATCGCATTGTCGCGCCATCGCATCATCATTATCACGCTTTTGCTTTAACACTTCATCGTCATCGTACAATCGCTTCCTCGTCATCGCATTATTGCATCAATTCACTATTGGCCCAAACCTCGATGGTGCTATAGAGAACTACAAGGCCCTATCCGGATTCTATAGGATTTTATCACAAACATTATGTTGGCAAACTTTCTAACAATTAAATTAGTTCTAGTCCATATAGACCTCTTTCTATTCCTATGTATTAAAGTTTACTGTTAGAATAGATGTTTTATCTATACATGTACTTACACATATTACACAAGGGACCTTTCCATCCGGCAGAACAGTGACTACAATTTCCATAGAAACGATCACAGGTTTCATCATTCAAACAGTTTTCACTACACCTCTCTGAGCAGTCTTTTCCATATTCCTTGTTTTCACAAGCTGAAAAAGACACTGACATTATTTGGACATGTTTCATTCATACTGACATACATGTACATGTACCTTCCATGATAAAGCTTATAAAGGATATTCATTTGCGTATTCGAGTGGTTCTTTTCCAATGAATAATAAGATCCGCCTACCTGCGAAGAAGGTAAAAGTATTCCTTTTAAAGGAATGATCGGCATTGGATATCAATAGCCAGCATCATGAAATGTCTTGAAATAAGTTTTTTTTTCTTTTTTAGTCGGTTAAACTACTGTAAAAATCACTGTTTTTTTCCAAATTTATTTTAAATGACTTAAAATTAATATTTGTTATTTCAGTATGTAATTTTCTTCTTTTTTTTTAAATTTAAAATTATTCCCCATTATAAAATGTGACAACAAAGTAGAGATTTGATTCCTCCACCCTCAAAGCTATGAATCACCGATATTCTTTTAAATTTCCTTTTTTTTTGGTTAATATGTATCCAACAATTTTATAGTACTCATGAGCAAACTCTCTTTGGGTTGGGAAATCCACCCTTTTTTCCATTCCGCAGGCATGATAAGGCAGTACCCAGATCATATTTCGGTGAATTTAGACTTTTTCTCGTAAAATGTAACATTGATAAAACGGCAAAGCCATTGATAAAACATTTACTATTGTTATCCTTTGTATAGACGTCATCGAGTCTTTGGCTAAAAGAAGCACACCACTATGACGTCATCACGTGACGCCCATTAATAGAAAAATTGCCTTAATGAAAAAGTGAAAGGTTCAACTGTCCCGGAAATAATTCATTTCTTTTTGTAAAAATAATTATGTATATACATCACTTGGACATGAAAAGCGCTGCTAGAATCCTACTCTCCCGACACAGAAAAAAATATTCCAAAGTTTCACAAGAAACCTTACAAAATTTTTACATTTTGTACATAGGATCAAGGAATTGTCATCTATTAATGATAACCACATGATTCTAGCAACACTTTCCAAGTACTATAGAATACAAGCTTTCGATACGTTCTTAATCTTTAATTCCATGTGAATCACATATAACATTCACGGTATATGCTTTTAAATTCCCATTTCATATATTTGTTTACATGAATTCTCGTCACGTTTAATTTTCACTCGGCAAATATTTGATCACTAGTTATGACGTCATGGGTTTGGTATTTAACCCCCATGATAAAAGCTTTGCTATTTATACAATCCAAAAACGACAAAATTTAGTTTACATAATGTTTTTGAATGATTCCATTCATTTCTTGGACCTGAAATTGAACTTTTAATATAGATAATAAGAAATCATGATGTCAAGTTCACGTCATACAGCTTATGCCCTGTTCACACGGAGAGTTTAATTCGAATTAAACGTAAGTTACTGCGAATTAAATTTGATCCGCGTTCACACGGAGAATTTAATGCGAATTAGTTTAATTCGAATTAGTTTACTGAGCATTAAATTACTTCGCATTAGCTCCGTGTGAACGCTAAGCGAAGCTAATTCGAATTACATTTTTATGCATGCATAAGGGCAGAATTAAGTCATAGGCCACATGTCGGTGGTCAAATATGGGTACTTGTGCTATTTTGTAGTGGAAAACAAAGGAAAATGATGTTAATCACTAAAATGTGTACAGAAACTATGACATGTTAAGAGCAATTCTCTGTAATGACTTTAACTTTTATATAGGAGCTGTGGCACGCCTAGTCTCAGAATTTCTCCAAACTCTCTATGATAAAAGTCTTTGATACCGTAAACTCAAATCAAGCAAAAATTGGTTGCTACGTGTCATGGTTACCATAGCAACATTTCCTAAAGTTTGAAAAATTGCATTTTTCAACATCTTCAGAGTCCCACAGTTAATGTTTGCAGCAAAGCAAACAAGTGGCAATGACTGTTTCTGAAAGTTGAAGGCCTGGTGTCTTAAATGCATGATAAACATGTTTGGTAAATCATCTATAACATACGTTACTATGGAAACAAAGTATTCAAAAATAATAATTTTGTTCTTTTAATTTTACAAAGTCATAAACTTAAGAATAAAAACAATTATAGGTTGAAATGCAAGCAAATAATAGAGAAGAGATCCATGTAACATATACCAAGGACAAAATATGATATTTCTTATAGGTTGGCAATGGTTGCCATGGTTTTAATACCACGAAGGGATTTTAAATTTACTCTCTTAGTGTTTTAATCTTATTCTATCTTTTTAAAAAGCATATTTCTACATAACTGATGATCAATTTTTAAAGGCCTTGGTGTGACCCTAATTTTCACATTTCAAAAAATTCAATTTCAATTCTTTAAATTGTGCGTTGCTATGGAAATAAGGTGAAAAAACATGCATAAAAATCTGAAAAATACTCTGTTTCCTTGGATACGTACCGTTGCATGTAGATTCCCAAAACTTTAATGATTGATATATGTGAACAACTAACCTGACTTTCAATTTTGACTATCACCCAATCTCTAACTGGATGCAAAAAGCTGGCACATAGGGTCTAATATTGACAAAAAATTAACAAAATCGAACATTTTCTCTTCTTGGTAACCATAGCAACAGTGTTGTATTTTTCAACAACCTTTATCAATATATGATATTCAACTTTAGTTCTACGAGATAATTACTATTCAAGGTGATTCAAATAATATTTTTCTTGATTAAAAGGTTAGTAAATTCCTAAAGCAGCAAAAAAATATCACTTTAAACAACTAGTACGTTGTTTCCATGGTTACACTGCAAAGTAACAATTAATCTCAATTTTTCTTATGTTGTCGGTGTTGCAAGGCCCTAAGGATGCATATGTGCCAGTCATGAATTTTATTGTTTTTCCTCACGATAGTAGCATTAACCCAATCATAGCAACAGATTTTGCATGGTGACACTGTGTTACCATGGCAACCATGAAAGTTAATTTTAGAATAATATTGCCAATACTTAATTACACGAGGTCAAATATTTTTCATTGTTTTTCTTACATTGTTGATTGAGTTTGATCATGTAACATCTATCATTTGTGACTATAGAGCGTTTTTCAGCTTTTTTCAGCATCTAAAATGTATTCCAAATGTACCCATGGTTACCACTTACTTAGAGATAAATTCTAAATAGTTTCTTAATAGCATAAGTGGCAACAAGGTGTCAAGTTTTTGGAAGAATGGTTTGTTTATTTTTCTTAGTCTTTATTAAGGCTTAATAAAGATTTAAAGTAGCTGAAAATCTCAATTTTTTCAAATTTTCTGGCTGTTACCATGGCAACCAAGACACATAGCAACGAAATTTTATTTGATATATGTTTCTGGTGTCAAGTTGTAATAATGGGTAAAGTTTCATGAAAATCGGTGACCATGCGTGGCAAAGAAGTTTAAGTGGTTACAGAGAATCGCTATTAAATGTATATCTGCTCTGCACAATATGACGTGATTTGTAAATGGCGTCATAATAGGCTCACTGAATAGCCTTGTTGTAGAAATAAAATTATAATTCGCATTAGTTCACTTCGCATTAGCTGTCGTGTGAACGCAATTTAATTCGCATTAGTTTAATTCGCATCATTTTACTTCGCATTAATTTACTGCGAATTAAACCCTCCGTGTGAGTAGGGCATTAATATGACGTCATATTGTATAGGTAAGTAGGATATTCCTGGGTGTAGCCTTTACATACCCGCGTCCCCTCCCCCTTGTAAATCAGGGATCGACACACTCCCTTCTTATTTATAAACACTGAGTAATATGCGTTACATATTACCGATAATACAACCCTTTTGTCTCTATAAGCTCTTTTAAATATCCTGTTTTCGACTGAAAGCACACATGAAAGGGTGTAGGTAATGAACAGTGATCAATCTCATAAAAAACTTAAACCAATTCAAACATGTGAACAGGACATAAACACGGATCCAATGGAAACTCCGGAGGTGGGATCAGGTGCCTAATAGGAGTAAGCATCCCATGTTAACCGGTCACACCTGCCGTGAGCCCTATGTATTGATCAAGTAGACGGAACATTCTGTAGTCAAATTTACTATAAAACAAAGTTTGCAATTTTTTATCGTCGACTTCACCACCTCCCCTAGACTTCACGTGATTGTAAGTTAAAAGTGGACAAAACATGGAATATGCATTGTTGCAACCACTATTGAAATAACGTTCATTATTGAAATAATTATTTCAATAGTGGTTGAGAGTGCATTTTAAATCCCAACACAGGTTGCAACTACTATTGAAATAACGTTCACTATTAAAATTGTTATTTCAATAGTGGTTGAAAGTGCATTTCAAAACCAATCACAGGTTGCAAACACTAACGCAATAACATTCGCTATTGAAACAATGATTTCAATAGAGGTTTTAAATGCATCTCAAAACCTAAACCAGGTTACAACCATATTAAATAATGTTCACTATTGAAATAAAGATTTCAATATTGATTGAAATGATTTCAATATTGATTGAAATAATGATCTCAATAGTGATTGAAATAATGATTTCAATAGTGATTGAAATAATGATTTCAATAGTGATTGAAATAATGATTTCAATAGTGATTGAAATAATTATTTCAAGAGTTGCTGACAATGATTTCAATATCAAAACCACATTGCAAGCCTCATTGAAATAACCCCACTATTGGAAAAAAATATAAGGATAAATTCTTCATTACGTTTTCCATTATAAATTAATATATTGAGTTTAAAATATGATATGTGATTTTATGTTTTAATTTCTGTTTAGAAATATTATTAATGCACGGACATCTGTGAGTTAACTGATCTAGTAATTTTAAGTAATTTTGTTATATAAGGTTCATCTTTGTTATTATCTGGGGAAAGTAAAAAAATATAAATACAGATAGTTGCAAAAATTAGAATATCTACATTAAAAAGAAGAAAGAAGACATCTATGTGATATCTAATATGTGTACAAACTTTCTGATGAAAATATGGTTACTTTTAATCAAAAGGATATAGAATAAAAGTAAATTCTCCCCTATATTCATGGTCTTGTCTTCACTACTAATATGGATTGTAAATCCAACGTTTCTACTCGTCATTACATTAATATCATATATTTGGGAAAACTAAGTATAAGTGTTATAACACTAGAGATTATTATTTCAATAGTGGTTATACGTATAAAACCGCTATTGAAAGAATATCCACTATAAAAATAATTATTTCAGTAGTGGTCGTCATTTCAATAGTGGGTGCATTGTTGCAACTAGTTATTGTAATAACGATCACTGTTGAACAAATTATTTCAATAGTGGATATTATTTCAATAGCGGTAGTATTAATGCAACCACTATTGAAATAATGATCACCAATGAAATAATTATTTCAATAACTGACATTATTTCAATAGCGGTTTAATACGTCTGACCACTATTGAAATAACACCCACTATTGTTATAATGTTTATACTAACTTCCCTTTACGTTTTGTTTTTTTAATGTCTTAACGAGTAGACGTTGGATTATTCATATTTGTAGTGTAGGCAAGCCCATGAATATAAGGTAGAATTTAGTTCTATTCTTTATTCTTTTTATTAAAAATACATGTAACCATATTTTCATCAGAAAGTTTGTACACATAGGTATCAGTCTTCTTTGTTCTTTTTAATGTAGATATTCTAATTTCTACAACTATCGGTATTTATGATCTTTTCCAAATTATTGGCGAAGATGAACCTTATATAACAAAATAACTTAAAACTTGCATATATTGATTGATTGCCTTTTGATTTTCACCGAGTCGGCCAGATTTAGCGGAAGCTTCCATATAACATTTGTATACTTTGTTTTAATTTAAGTACGTCAGTTAAATCAAAGATGTCCATGTTTTAATGGTAATTTCTAGTAAAGAAAGGAAAACATAAATTTGCACATCATATTTAAAACTCAGTAAATTAATTTACTATGTTGGAAAACGTAATGAGCAATTCATTCATATATATATATATATTTTTTTTTTTTTTTTTTTTTTTTTTTTTTTTTTGCAAAAGAGGGATTAATAAGGCTTGCAATGTGGTGTTGGTATTGAAATCATTATTTCAATCACTTTTGAAATCTTTATTTCAATAGTGAACATTATTTCAACAGTGGTTGCAACTTGGTTTAGGTTTTGAAATTCAATAGTGAATGTTATTTCATTAGTGCTCGCAACCTGTGTTTGGTTTTGAAATGCACTTTCAACCACTATTGAAACTAGAGGTACTGTGAGCACTGAGCTCACTAAATGATACCCCTGCCTCCCATATGTAAATAATGGCAAATTCCATGTTTTGCCCTGGGAGACCCGAAATAAGTGTCAGATCAAAAAATAAAATAGGAGGTGCACAATGGCACTATGTAACAAAGATTCTGTGAAAGTCTCATTAAATTTCATTCAGTGGTATAAGAGGAGTTCGGATAAGAGATTGGTACCACAAAACGTAACAGACGGATGGACGTACAGACAGACAGACGGACACCCCGATCACTATATACCCTCCCACTTTTCAAGCGGGGGGTATAATAATTATTTCAATAGTAAACGTTATATCAATAGTGGTTACAACCTGTGTTTGGTTTTGAAATGCACTCTCAACCACTATTGAAATAATTATTTCAATAGTGGTCGTTATTTCAATAGTGGTTACAACAATGCATACATCTTAAAAGGTTGTTATACATTATCCTTTCCTTCATTCTTCCATTTCATTTCTGAATACCTCCAACTTGTAAGTATTTCAATTAAATCACTCACATTTAGAGAAAATTTTGTTGGTCTGCTGCAAAGAAAAGGTTTTTCAAACAAATTTTTGTCAGGAAAGTTTCTAACAGAAAAAAAATGAACGTGGTCCATGTATACATAGGATTTTTGACTATTCATTCTATTCGATTTTTGAATGTTTTAGGATTTACTTATACTTACAAATATTACACATAGGGCCTTTCCATCCGGCAGAACATTTGCTACAGTTTCCATAGAAACGATTACAGGTTTCACCATTTAAACAGTTTCCACTGCACCTCTCTAAGCAGCCTTTTCCATACTCTCCACTCTCACAGGCTGAAGTATATGAGAGATATTTATTTGTTATTTGAGACACATACCTCTTTTATTGTTTATCCTGTTTCCACTTTGATTGTAGTGAAAAAAGAAAAAAAATCCACAGGTTAAACTGTTACTGTTGAATTATTGCAATGTTATCGTTATTCATAATTTTGGAAAATTATTTACCAAACTTTACAAGCATATTTACCAAGGTTTATTTATTCATATACATTTAATTAACAAATAAAAAAGAGGAAGGAAGAAAACGACTTTTGTCAATTTTTTTGGAAAACTTTATTATTCATATATTCTTAGGGCAGGTATGTTTTTGTAAATGTTTGGAATTTTTGGAAAAGTTTCATCTCAAGATTATGTTGGCAAAGTTTATAAAAGAAAGAGACACCACAGTACTCTTCTTACCTTACCGCATTGAAGAGTTAATCTAAAACATACTTTGTTTTTACTTACAGACATTACACATGGGACCTTTCCATCCAGTAGAACAGTAGCTACAGTTTCCATAGAAACGATCACAGGTTTCACCATTTAAACAGTTTCCACTACACCTCTCTAAGCAGTCTTTTCCATATTCTCCGATATCACAGGCTGAAAGAATACAATCATATAAGTATTGTAAGCTCCCCATGGATGGCCATACTGGAATGGGGGCTTTGTAATATACTTATGCAGTATTTCTTAGGTCAATCCTTAATTTTTAATTCATGTTTCTCAGTTAAGGAAAGACTTTTATCAATTAAAATATCGGTTTATAAATTGGTCTTGCAACAAGAGATGACAGTGTGGTAAAACAAACATCTATGTTGGATATATAGATATTTAGTATATTTGTTTTGGTCGTTTACGTCAACCGTTACTTTTAATGGTAAAAGAGGTTGATTTGGAAATAACATAAAAATATGGCTTCCGGTTGCATTAGAGACAAACTTTATTAGTTCTCAATGCATTTGAGGTCAAGAATTTTACTTGTGGATCACTAGTTTTTGAAACCTTTCTCTCTAAGGTTCTTGCAAGCTCATGTTTTGATATTAGATGATGGTAGATCTGTCTCCGTCTTAGACTCGAGAAGGATCTATTTCATTCGTTTATTGCTGCGTGCATTGTTTTATTCCCTCGTCCAAAAATGGCAGCAACTGTTCCCTTGCTAAGCGTTAGGCACTTTGAAGTGAAAGTTACGGTTTTTCTGAATTTTTTATACTAATTGTTAGGCCACTATTTACACAGTCATTTGTCGACGGATTTTTCCGTTATTTTCCGATCATGACAAGGAGCATACGGCGGGTGTGACCGGTCGGCAGGGAATGCTCACTCCTTCATGGCAACTGATCTCACCTCTGATGTCTTAGAGGTAAGAGTTTGCTCTGCTCCTATTTTGTATTGTTTAATGGACTTTTGAGCTCGAATACTGTTCGTTATCTCCACATATTTCATTTACGTCCACTGAATTTTATCTCCTTTATTTCTCAAGAAAATTGCCGTTTATCAGTTAGTAATCACCGCAAAGCATATCACTTCTACAGATTTCCTGAGCAGTGGCTGTTCCATCAATGAAACGTACAATGGCGTACATATCAATATTACACTATTTCATCCACTAAATCCTACTTTAATTGATTATTTGTACATATATAAATATAACCAATACAATGGGGTTTTTTTGTCTGTTTGTTAGTACGGGAATTAACATTGCAGCTAATGCAGAAAAAATACATAACCCGCTTACGCGTGTTATGCATTTATACTGCAACAACTGCAACATAAATTCCCGTACTTCCAACCCAAGAATGCATTCTAATATTTAATTGTCAGCCCACAACAATACTTAAAGTACTCTTTCGACTCAATTTTATAGTACTCATGAGCAAAGACAATCGGGTATGGTTCCCACTTTCCATTTTCCCCCTTTTAAATCAGGGATTTATATACTTTTTCCATTCGTGCATTCTGAGTAATATGCGTTACATGTTACCAATAATGTAACCCTTTTAACTCTGTAAGATGTTTTTAAATATCCCATTTTCGACTGATAGTATACATTAAAAGAAAAAGACTTGCAGATCTTTCCTCGTCGTCTGCCTCACCTCGTGCTAGACTTCACGTGACTACACATGAAAGTCTAAAACATTACAAAACATGGAATATGCATACATCGTAAAACAAGATGTGTTTGTGAAACACTGATGCCCCCGTATGGCAGCTTATGGCGAAGGTTAAATTTTCTCAAATGCAAGTCAAAATCCAGGCCAAAAGATAAAAAATGTTGGTACCAAAAGAAAGGTCTTGTCTCGAGGAATATACCTGTGAAATTTGAGAGACCTATCTGCAACTGTTCAAAAGTTATGGCGAAGGTTAAAGTTTTTTAAAAGTACGTAAAACGTCAAGGTCAAAGTTGTTGGTATCCAAAGGAAGGTCTTGTCACAAGGATTAAATATGTGAAGTATGAAAGCCCTAGCACCAACCATTCAAATGTTATGACCAAGGTTAAAGTTTCGAAAGTAGGTCAAACTCCTATGTCAAGGTCAAAGGGTCAAAGTGGTTGGTATGCATAGGAAGATCTTGTCACAAGGATTACATATATGAAGTATCAAAGCTCTAGCATTAACCATTCAAAAGTTATGGCCAAGGTTAAAGTTTTTCAAAAGTAATTCAAACTCCTGTGTCAAGGACAAAAGGTCAAAGTGGTTAGTATCCAAAAAAGGTCTTCTCACAAGAATTAGATATGTGAAGTATGAAAGCCGTAGCTCCAACCATTCAAAAGTTATGGCGAAGGTTAAAGTTTTTCAAAAGTAGGTCAAACTCATAGGTCAAGGTCAAAGGGTCAAAGTGGTTGGTATCCAAAGGAAGGTGATGTCACAAGGATTACATATGTGAAGTATGAAACCCTTAGCATTAACCATTCAAAAGTTATGACGAAGGTTAAAGTTTTTCGAAAGTAGGTCAAACTCCTATGTCAAGGTCAAAGGGTCAAAGTGGTTGGTATGCATAGGAAGATCTTGTCACAAGGATTACATATGTGAAGTACGAAACCCTTAGCATCAACCATTCAAAAGTTATGGCCAAGGTTAAAGTTTTTCAAAAGTAGTTCAAACTCCTGTGTCAAGGACAAAAGGTCAAAGTGGCAAGTATCCAAAAAAGGTCTTCTCACAAGAATTAGATATGTGAAGTATGAAAGCCGTAGCTCCAACCATTCAAATGTTATGGCGAAGGTTAAAGTTTTTCAAAAGTAGATCAAACTCATAGGTCAAGGTCAAAGGGTCAAAGAGGTTGATATCCAGAGGAAGGTCTTGTCACAATGAATACACATGTGAAGTTTGAAACCCCAAGCACCGACTGTTCAAAAGGTATGGCCAACGTTAAAGTTTTTCAAAAGTAGGTCAAACTCCTAGGTCAAGGTCAAAAGGTCAAAGTGGTTGTTTTTCAAAAAAAGGTCTTATCACACGGATTACATATGTGAAGTATGAAAGCCCTAGCTCCAACCATTCAAAAGTTATGGCCAAGGTTAAAGTTTAACAAAAGTAGGTCAACCTCCAAGGTCAAGGTCAAAAGGTCAAAATTGTTGGTATCCAAAGGAAGGCCTTGTCACAAAAAATACACATGTGAAGTTCGAAACCCCAAGCACCAACTGTTCAGAAGTTATGGCCAAGGTTAAAGTATCATAAAATTTTGCAAAAGTGGGTCAAACTCCAAGGTCAAGGTCAAAAGGACAAATATGATGGTACTCAAAGAAAGGTTTTGTCAAAAGGATTACACATGTGAAATCTGAAAGTCATAGCTCCAACCAAACAAAAGTTATGGGCAAGGTTAAATTTGACGACAGGCAAACAGACAAACAAACAAACAGAGAGACAGACAGGACAAAAACAATATACCCCGGGATTTTCCGATCCAGGGGCATAAACATTTTTCTTTTCCTTCATTCTTCCATGTTATTTCTAACAACCACCCATTTATAAATATTTCAGTTCAATCACTCACATCTAGGGTAAATTTTGTTGGTCTGCTGCACAGGAAAGTTTTTTCAAAACAAAAATTTTGTTATGAAATGTTTCTAACAGAAAAAAAAATTAACGTGGTCCATGTAGTATTTCTGACTATTCATCCAATTCATTTTTTGAATGTTTTAGGATTTACTTATACTTACAAATATTACACAAAGGCCCTTTCCATCCAGCAGAACATTTACTACAGTTTCCATAGAAACGATTACAGCTTTCACCATTCAAACAGTTTCCACTACACCTCTCTAAGCAGTCTTTACCATATTCTCCGCTCGCACAAGCTGAAGTATATGAGATATATTATTCGTTATTTCAAACAGATATTCTTTTAATCTTTTTTCTCCAACACTTTCCTCTTTCATTATTGTGAAAAAAGTAAAACATCCACAAGTTAAACTGTAAACCTTTCAAACCCTCTTTCACATGGTTTATTATTTTTTTTTATTAAGAAATAAGGGAAGAAAACGACTTCTGTCAACTTTTGAAAACTTTATTATTCAAATTTTCTTAGGGCAGGCCTACTCTTGTAAATGTTTGGTAGGGTGAATTCACCATGCATCGGACACCCTCGTACTTCAAGAAGTCCTAGCGACATCGCTACCGACCGAATACTATCAAAATGGACCTTAACATGTAGTATGTGATTAAAATATATTAAACTTGTGACACAATAGCATGCTATTTATTGAGGAAATGTCATTAAAAACGATTTTTTTAAACGAATTCACCATGGATCGGACAATATTCACTATGCATCGGAGAAAGGGTATTTTGAACCGAAAAAAATGTTTATACTTTTATCTCGGTGGTTTTAGATTAGTGACATGAAAATATTTTTATCTTTTATTTAAAAATCAACTTTTAAGTTTAATTTGATTGACTATATCAATCCACAAATGTGGAGAGATTTTAGTTGCATCCCTTTGCCTTAGAAAGGTTTTAAATTGCTAGTAATATGGCAACTCGCGCCTTTTTTCTCCCGAGTTATCATCTTCTAGTTTGTAGAAATAAATTGAGTCCACTTTTAGTCGTCATATACCAATAAATTGTATTTTAACTTACTATTTAGAGTTTTTATTTCCTATTTCCGCAAAAAACAGCCGTCAGTTGGGTTCTATACGAGATCGAAGATTTAGTGAATACAGATGCATCGAAAAGTGTCTGATGTATGGTTGATTTTTGTCCAATACACGGTGAATGAACATACTAGTAAAAAACAACTCTAAGAAAATTTATACAGACTTTCTGAAAAATTTCTGTAAAATTATCTATCATTGACACATTTCACCTAACACCGACTTGTTCCTTCGAGTCTAATAAAAGGAAGACAACTCTAGAAAAATTTCTGGTTACTCCTCTTTCATGATGTCAAATATGACATAACTTCAAGGCCATTCTCGTGGTATTTTTATCACAGCATGATAATAACATTCAGCATCATTAAAAAGTTTAAATCCTCAGCTTAAAGGTGGAAACAAGTTAAAACACAGAGACATTTAGGAATGATGCAAGTTTATTGTTTAAAGTTGTCCGAAGCAAGGTAAGCGTCCGATGCATGGTTAACTCATCCTATATTTGGAAACGTTTTATCGCAAATATTATGTTGGCAAAGTTTTTAAACAGAAAGAGTCGGAACAATTCTCATTTTGCCTTAATTAGTTCTTTAAAAAAGAAAGGCTTTGTTCTTACATGTACTTACAGACATTACACATAGGGCCTTTCCATCCAGCAGAACAGTAACTACAGTTTCCATAGAAACGATCACATGTTTCACCATTCAAACAGTTTGCACTACACTTCTCTAAGCAGTCCTCTCCATGTTCTCCGTCATCACATGCTGAAAGAATAAAATCATATAGTACTGTAGGATGGCCACCCTGGAATAGGGGCTATGCAATATACAATTATGTACTTAAGCAGCATTTCTCTAGGTCACTCCGTAATTCTTCATTCATGTCTCTCAGTAAGGACAAGTTTTGTTTTGGTCGGTGGAATCAACCGTGCATTCAAGGGTAAAAAAATGATTTGGAAATAACATAAAATATTGATTCTGATTGCATTAGAAATGAACTCCATTGGTGCTTAGTGTATTTAAAGTCAAGAATTTTACTTGTGGATCAATTGCTTTAAAACTTCTCTCCAAGGTTCGTGGAAGCACGTTTTGATTTTAGGGGAAGATCTGTCTTCGTCTCAGTGTCCTTCATCGTTTCTTTTGTTCGTTCATTGCTGCGTGCATTATTTCATTCACTCCTCCAAAAAAATGTTCGCAACTGTACGTTCTTTTGCCAAGCGTTTGGGTACTTTGAAGTGAAAGTAACTGGTCTTGTGGAAGAGACCTTAAAAACGCAGGGCCTGTTTCGCGGCAGGCGTTTGCACGATAAAAGTGCTCAATGGCCCCAAGTGTTGAGTAAAAGGGTTAATTTGAAATATTTCACTGGCATATGGTGCCTTCTCAAATGAATGATATAATCTTGCAACGGACGATAAACATCAATCAATCTATATAATGAAAAAATATCATTCACTATTCCAGTGAAATGCGTTCTAGTATTTCTTTTAATCTTGTCCCATGCCAGAGACAATAACATACATACAGTATATCTATATCTAGTCATCTACAGCTTTTCTGATACAGTTACTATAGTACATTGTGAATTGCAAATCAACTTAAAGTTCCCAGCACGTCAGTAGCATCAGCTTTCTTATATTCAGTTTACTTTGCAAAGTATACGCTAAACCTTATCTAAACTTGTAAAAAAAAAATATTGCACTGTTACTACAAAGACAGGTAAATCAAATTTACATACATGTAATTTAAGTGCAATTTAATAATATTTTTAGTTCAATTCGAAAACTTGATTACGTTTCAGAGTTGCAGATATATCCCCCTACATCTTTACAAGTTTGTATAGCCTACATGGATCATTTCTGGCGCATAATTTTCTGTCCCCTAATCTAAAAACTTGATCTTTCCGTATCATTTATTTACTTTGCAGTCGAGTCTTTCATTTTCCTATTGACTTAGTCATGTTAGACACCATTGGATTTCCTTCACATTGTCATAATGTTAACTCCATTCGGGGTCTAGAAAACGTTATGCACACCTGTGAAACAGTGAAAACGGAAGCACTTAAAAGTAGATGCAAACAAGTCAGATACCGGAAATAATCCAATTAAATTCATACTCGCTATGTGGGCGATAACATTTTGAAGAGTTGGTTGGCCACTTACAAAATTGCTCGCTTTTGAGATTGAGCAACCGGTACTGCATTCCGACTGTGTTTAGTAGCTAAAATTCAGGTATATATTTCAGTGATACATGTAAAACGGTTTTGATCACATTAATGCAGCTGTATTAAATGCAATGATAAAATATTTAACACTGTAATTTTTTTCAGTGTGGATAAGATACGATATAAAAGAAATAGATGATTAAACCTTTGACCTAAAATAAACGGATAAAAAATTATCCGTTACTGAATATACAATTTCTTAATATCGGATAGTTCTAGTGAAGTTTAGAATGTATTGTAAAATATAGACCTAGCAAATTGATATTCTACCGTTCTACTTAAGCCATTTAAATAATTTCCGATGGTATCTGAATTGAAAATTGAGATCTATATAAAAGTGTGTGACAGTTGTGTACACGCGTGCGAGAACTATAAATAAACCCGTATGAGTAGGTTTTTGAGCCATCGTAAAAACCGTTTCTTGTACACCGTATAGCGTTTTAAGCAAACCTTGTAGCGTGAGTGCAGCGTGTGTCTATGATATTAGCACGTTTAAGGGTCTGCTTCACTGTTCGTATTTCTCCTTCATTGCTCAAAGGACTAACAATAAATCTGACCGGACACTAGCTAGTTTCTGTTACATTTCAGCTCATTTTGAAAGGTGTCTTCTACAAGATGTCTTTTTGGGCTAGCCTGCAGTCTCAAGGCTGCTCTAAATTGCAAAGAATTGCAAAAAGGGGTAATGTCAGCGAAGGTACCTTACAAAAATAATTATATTATGAAAAAAATCTATGCTTATTTTTCCTTTTAATGCATTAAACTAAAAGAAAATTACTTTGTTTATAAAGTACTTACAAATATTACACATAGGACCCTTCCAACCGGCAGAACAGTAGCTACAGTTTCCATGAAATCGGTCACAGTTTTCACCATTCAAACAGTTTCCACTACATATTCCATGACAGTCTTTTCCATATTTCCCGCTGTCACAAGCTAAATGATCAAATAGATATTATTTATAGTTACTTAAACCGATATTTTTTTTTTCAATTATATCGTCAATTTCCTAGTTGATTAAAACAAGAACAGGAAAAGGTCAATTAGAATCAGACACATGTATCACCTATCATCATAAATATATTTGACTTAATGAATATAAAACACAAACTGTGTAACAAAAGTTTTTATGCGATAAGTAAAATTCAATGTTCTGAAAAAGGGACCTGTCGTTTTGTCCATAGTAAATGATAAGCAACTTTGTATATTACATATGAAAAACATATATATTTTGAAAGATGTACTTCATGGAAGTAAATATATTGTGTATATCGTAATTTATAAAGGGAAATAACATTCTTTTTAATGTATATTTAACCTTTAATTCTGAATAACCTCTCCCACCTCAATCCCAAACACCAAAACTTAAACTTCTATGTATAGAGCAACCCGGTCCTCCGGACTGCAATAAAAAATAAAACAACGATTTTTTTTTATCGGAGAGTTCAGGAGAAGTGTATAACGCGTATTGTAAAATACAGGTCTATTCTGTTATTCTACTTCAATTGTTGAAATACGAATGGAACTTGAATGGAAAATCGAGATCTATACCAAAGTGTATGATAATTGTGAACAACGCGACTGAAAACTGAATACAAACCAGTAAGTTCGTGTAGCTATTTTGTGCCATCATGATACACAACTTCGTCTAAACCGTGAAGCGGTTTTTAGCCAATTTTGTAGGGAGCATGAAGCGCACTTGCAGGTGTGACATTAGTGATATAAGCACTTAAAGGGTCTGCATCATTGTCTGTGTATCTCCCTCATGGGCCAAAGTTTAAACATTATAATAAATATAACTGAACACTAGCTAGTTTTTGTTTACATTTTGTCTCAAGATGTCTTTTTGGGCAGGCCCGTCTCAAGGGCTGCGCTAGAAAAATTAAAAATTATTGGAAAGGATCGCAAAAAGGATTATATCACAAAATTCTTTAAAAAATGACTGTATTCTACGTAAACCTCTGCCTATTAATCCGTTAATGCGTCAAACTAAAAACTAAATAAAAAATATTTCGTTTATAAAGTACTTACAAGCGTTACACATAGGACCCTTCCAACCGGCAGAACAGAAGCTACAGTTTCCATAAAATCGGTCACAGGTTTCACCATTTAAACAGTTTCCACTACATATTTCCAGACAGTCTTTTCCATATTCCCCGCTCACACAAGCTAATGATGAGATTAATATTCTTTATATTTACTTAAACTTTTTTATCGTCTCGCTGATTTCCTATTTGATTAAAACAAGAACAGAAAAATGTCAACAAGTCAATATGAGCTTTTAATTTGTATCTTACTTATTGTTATTCACACAATTTTAAAAAGTTACTTTATGGTACTAGTATTTTAAGTGGTAACAATTTGTTCATTCAATATTAACTTGACTATTGTTGTTGCCGATACTATATACAGAGTATACAGAGTAACAGAACATACCCTTACAAAGGATGACACACTATGATATCTGAACAGTTAAATTCCACATGAACTATTTCATCAGAGACTACTTAATATTTCAGATTTATAATTCGTTTTAAAGTTAAGAATAAAAGTTTGTAGATCTCCTTAACGATTGAGAGCTCTCAGATATTATGTATTAACGCACCACCAGAAAACGTTTTGTACATATAAAGAGGTTTTTTGTGGAAATCCGATAGGCCCATGTAGTTCACTATCGCACCATCGAGCATCGACTAAAGGGCCGATGGCGCGATGAAGATGAAGCGATGGCGTGATGACGATGACGCAATGGTCCGATAGCACTGACGATGATGCGATAGCCCAACAATACGATGACGATGGTGCGATAGTACGATGGAGCGATAGTGAACATACACATCGCTTTATCATTTTTGTATCATTGCTTTTTTGTCATCACACCATCATGTCATCGCTATCGTACCATCGACTCATCGTTTCATCGTGCTATCGCATCATCGACATCGCACTGTCGCGCCATCGCATCATCATTATCTCGCTTTCGCTTCAACACTTCATCGTCATCGTACAATCGCTTCCTCGTCATCGCATTATTGCATCATTTCACTATTGGCCCAAACCTCGATGGTGCTATAGAGAACTACAAGGCCCTATCCGGATTCTATAGGATTTTATCACAAACATTATGTTGGCAAACGTTCTAACAATTAAATTAGTTCTGGCCCATATAGACCTCTTTCTATTCCTATGTATTAAAGTTTATTGTTAGAATAGATGTTTTATCTATACATGTACTTACACACATTACACAAGGGACCTTTCCATCCGGCAGAACAGTGACTACAATTTCCATAGAAACGATCACAGGTTTCATCATTCAAACAGTTTTCACTACACCTCTCTGAACAGTCTTTTCCATATTCATTGTTTTCACAAGCTGAAAAAGACACTGAAATTATTTGTACATGTTTCATTCATACTGACATACATGTACGTGAACCTATCATGATTAAGCTTATAAAGGATATTCATTTAATTGCGCATTCGAGTGGTTCTTTTCTAATGAATAATAAGATCCGCCTACCTGCTAAGAAGGTAAAAGTATTCCTTTTAATGGAATGATCGGCATCGGATATCAATAGTCAGCATCATGAAATTGTCTTGAAATAAGTTATTTTTTTATTTTTTAGTCGGTTAGACTATTGTAAAAATCACTGTTTTTTCAAATTTATTTTAAATGACTCAAAATTAATATTTATTCTTTCTGTATGATTTTTTTTTTTTTTTGATTTAAAATCATTCCCCATTATAAAATGTAACAATAAAGTAGAAATTTGATTCCACCACCCTCAAAGCTAAAATTAATTAATATTGTTCGAAACAATAATATTTGATTTATTCATTCATGTTAATTTCAACTATTCCTCAGATTCGAGAGATTTTATACTGAGTTTATTTCTACTGCAATATTGTCAGCCCACAGCTATACTTAAATTACTCTCCCGACTCCCTATCCCGATTTATTGTCATATGAATCACTGATATTCTTTTGAATTTCAATTTTTTGGTTAAAATGTATCAAACAATTTCATAGTAGTCATGAGCAAACTCCCTTTTTTCCATTCCACATAAAGCAGTACCCAGGTCATATTTCGGTAAATTTAGACTTTTTCTCGTAAAATGTAACATTGATAAAACAACAAAGGCATAGAAAAAACATTTACTTTTGTTATCCTTTGTATAGACGTCATTGAGTCTTAGGCTAAAAGAAGCACTCCACTATGACGTCATCACGTGACGTCCATTAATATAAAAATCGCCTTAATAATAATAATAATAATAATAATAATAATACTTTATTTAAAGAAGGTAACCTGGTTAGTGCATGCACTATTCTTCCCCAGGGCCTTCTGGATATTAAGTACAGATACATATAATTATATAATATATATACAAATATACAAATTAACATATTGCAGTCCATATGATTACAGTCTCAGAAGTATGAATACAGAGTTTGTCTTTGTTCGATAATAATTACATATAAATAAGAAACAATCATAAACACAATTATTTAAATATAAATTGTAAAATAATAATAATAATGATAATAATAATAATAATAAATAATTGAAATATTTGCTCAGATATTTATTCCACGGCTAACAATGTAATTTTCTACCTTACATTTAAAAGCGTGTAGAGACTGAGAAAGCCTGATTTGTTGTGGTAGTTTGTTCCATAGATGTACACCTGAGTACTGAAAAGAGGTCTTAAATATGTTTGTACGGAAATTTGGTAATTTAAGATGGTAGTTTGATTCAGATCGCAGATTATAAGAAGTTGAAGATTGAAATTCAAATAACTCACAAAGATATTCAGGAGTCATACCATTGAATATTTTGAATAATAAAATGTATTTGTATAGATCAACTAGCTCATAAACTGTCAGCCAGCCAAGTTTCTCAAGCAATGGTTTAGAATAAGAATCAGGACTTGCATTGAGAATAATCCTGGCGGTCCTTTTTTGTAATTTAAATATTCTTTCAATACTGTTTTGGGGTGCATTTCCCCAAACAGTTAAACAGTAATTAATTGAATGTAAAATATAAGCATTGTAGTACAGTTTTCTGGTATGTAAGGCGAAGAATTTTTTTTTATCTTGCGTAATGTAAATAACTTGTAGTTTAAGGTTTTGCAAACCGAGTCTACATGAACAGAGGACTGTAATTTATCATCAATGTGTATACCTAGAAGTTTCTCAGTCTCAACCATCTCAATTGTTTTGTCTGAAGCATACAGTTGTAAATTTGGATTGATTAGTTTGGATTTTCTCTGCTGCGTGCCCATTAGCATACATTTTGTTTTATCTACATTCAATACCATTTGATTCTGAGAGCACCATTTTTCAATTTCACAAGTATCTGAGTTCAACACATTTTCTAGATATTTTGGATTATGATTGTTAGTGTATAGAGTTACATCATCAGCAAACATGTCAACATTTGAATTTTTTTACATGTAATGAAAGATCATTTATGTACAATAAAAATAAAAGCGGACCCAAAATAGAACCCTGCGGCACTCCTGCTGTGACGGGTAGGATATCGGAAACACATGTTCCAATTTTTACACATTGCGTCCTGCTATAAAGATACGATTTAAACAATTTATTGTCAAACTGTCAAACCTGTAATGAATTAATTTCTGTAGAAGAATATCATTATTTACTAAATCAAAAGCTTTACTGAAATCAATAAATGTAATACCAATTAGTTCACCACGATCCATTGCATTTAGCCAACTTTCTGTTAGTTTTGTGAGTGCAGTTTGACAAGAATGGAATTCTCTAAATCCTGATTGGGATTGTGTTAATAGATCAAAGACATTAGTAAACTGTTGGATTTGCTTAGCTACATGCTTTTCTATCAATTTTGATAGCTTTGGTAAGATAGAAATCGGACGATAATTATTAGGGTCAGCTTTGTCACCTTTCTTATAAATAGGTGTTACTTTAGCTTGTTTTAGATTTGTTGGAAAAATACCGTTAAGTATGCTAGAATTACTAAGATGAGTTACAGGTTTATATATATATATATATATATATATATATATATATATATATATATATATATATAGATATAGATATATATATAGATGATGTTTTTAAAAGCCGCGGTCCAATGAAGTCAATGCCAGCTGATTTATTGATATTGAGGGAATTCAACATGTTTAGAACTTCATTTTGATCAATTTGTTGAATACCTAAAAGGATTTCATCTCCAAGCTTAGAGTTTACAAAATTTTGCAATATACTAGGATCATACTGATGTTTAGGTAATTCAAAAAGAAGCTTTTTGGATACCTCCGTAAAATGGATATTGAAAGCATTCACTATATCCTGTAAGTCATCAACAATAGCACCGTTAGAATACACATGAGAAGGAGTTAAGCTGTTTAATTTTGAGGATAATTGATTTAGATAATTCCACATTTCTTTTGGATTTGAACTTTTTTCAATTGCCGTAGTAGTATGAAGATTTTGCTTTGTCTATCAGGAGACTAACTTTGTTCCGATACAGTCTATAGTTTTCCATATCCCCTTCTTTGTGATAAGAGTCGCGCAAGTGTCTAGCATCATTGATTTCTTGTGTTAGCCTTTTAGGTCGGATCTCGCTCTTTACTCGTTTCGTTTTAATTTGTGCATGTTTGTCAAGAACACTGTTGAATAATTCATAAAATTCTGTAAGTATTTCATTCGGATCATGCATTTGGAGGTTGTTAAAATTTACATATTTTAAGTCTTGTAGGAAGTTATTTTCATTAAACTTTTTAAAGTCTAGATATTTAATCTCTGTGTGATTTCCTTTTTTAAACATGCAGTTAGTTTTTCTAGTAGCACATATAGGGTAGTGATCAGAGATAGCAATAAAAGGAACATTATTTTCACATATGTTTTCTGGTTTATTAGTATAAAAGTGATTTATAAGGGTACTTGAGGTATTAGTTACTCTGGTTGGTGCTTTGATTAATTGTGAAAACCCATACTCTTCTAAAGCAAATGTCCAACTTTGTGGGGGTTCTTTGAATAAGTCTACATTGAAATCACCTGTTATGATAATTTCTGCATCGTCACAGCAGGAGGCACAGTTAATCTCTCTAGCCAGATCCTCCGCCCAGCAGGAGGGAGCAGATGGTGGACGATATGCTGAACAGTAATAAACTGGTTTAGAATTTTTAGTCTTTAATTCCAGCCAAATTGTTTCAATATTACTGATTTCAAGATCAGGCCTACGTTTATATCTTATATTATTAGAAATGTAGACAATAATTCCACCACCTGCTCTTAAAATGCGATCTTTTCTTTCCATATCAAAACCCTCAATATACAACTCAGAATCATTGACTTGATTATTCAAGAAGGTTTCACAAAGTCCTAAAATATCTAGAGTTTGTTTGTCATGAAGTAGCATTTTAATTTTAGGCATTAGATGGCATATGTTTAGATTTCCAAATCTTAAACCTTTTTTCACCAAACCAAATCCATTATTGCATGGTATGTTCTCATTTTTAGATATGGTAGGATTAGCAGATTGTTTAAACTTCTTGGTATAAAAACTATGAATATTCTTGTCTGGTTTTGAAAATTTAGAAGTATTTGGTGAAGTAATTGAATGTTTAGAATTTGTTACAGGAAGACAAGAATATTCACATTGATTGCATGAACAGTGGATCTTATTACATTCTGAACATAAACTATTAAGAGTGGAATAAACATTGTTGTTACGCAAAATCGTTTGGGAATTGGTGACGGCTACACTTTCATTGCCTGTTTCCTAGTGGCTATGTGGACAGAGCTTGGTTTTGTGACCTAGCTCTCCACAGTTCCAACAGTCCAGCTTTCTTCCATGTCTGCAGTGTCGCGATATGTGGCCACATTCCCCACAGAAATAGCAGAAGGCTGGAAGGCAGACGGAAGTATTGCCAACTAATGTTGCCGTTTCTTCGCCATTCGTACGCACATTTCCGGCTTTGAGGATACTCACGTATCCATGGAATTTTTTCAGTTATGCTGCTGTACCTCTGTCTGACAGATGAATGCCGTCTTTCCAGTAGTATTCTTGTTTGGGCTTTCCATGGCCAAAGAATTTAGAAGTTGGAATCATTGTGCCACCATATATTTCGCATACATTTTTAATAATTCCATTAACTTCACTGGTTTCTGTATCACGTCTAGGTAACACTTCCGAGATAAATACACGGACACTAGAATTCCGATTTCTGAGATCTGTGATTACTTCTGCGAAATCATTTTCTATTGTCTCTGGGTCTCGTCGTCTTGATGCATCATTTCCTCCAGCCAATATGATAACACTACGATATGACGATACATCCATTTTTGAGAGCTTGGCCCGTACATGGGAGATGTTTGCCCCTCGATTTGTGTTGATCTGCACAGTTGGACGCACTCCTCTGGTACGGATCCTTTGTTATATGGAGCTTCCTATGATGAGGACAGATTTATCCTTTGGAATCTTTCCAGGTTGATTTGTTCAACGTTTGGTGTTTTAATCTGGCGAGGTAGGAAAACTCATTGTATGTTTTTCACTGGCATCAGTCATTGTACTGTTGGAGATTGTTGGAGCTTTAAGGGTACATTGGCTATGCCTAGATATACCAGTTGGAATCTGAAATCCGTCTGCTGATGTCTCCTTTTGTTTTGTCCTGTTTGGAGTTGTTTGGGCAGCTCTTGTAACAAGCGATGCAACCTTTTTTTATACATTTAGTTGCTGTTTTAGGTCACTGACTTCTGGTGTCAAAAGCTTGACAGTATCAGACAGCTCCTGGATAAGTTTTGCACTGCTGATACACTGATGGCAATTCTGTGATGCTTTACCTTTAGGAGTCGAGGTGCACTGAGGAGATGTTTCATCTAAAGTCTTACACCTTGTTTCCAAATTAACATTTGTTCTGCTCAAATCCATGAGGAACTCCTGATACCAAGAGAAATATGAGTCCCCTTTGGATATGTAGAGCTTGTTCTCTCATAAATGGTTACTGTGACGGTTTTGTCCTGTGATTTATAAATTGATCCATGTCTTCTTTCATTACTGTCTTTAAAAAGTAGGAGTTTCTTCTCTAACAGATCTAAAATCATGGGGTACTTGTCGCCATCAAAAGTTATTGTAACACTTTTCTGATTTTTCTTAATTTGCAAGAAACTTGGCACATCATTTATACTTAGTCTCACAGATTCCGTTGGCAGATCATTATTTAAATGATCTTGAAAATCCAGTAAATGAGTCCAAAAGTGACTTGAAAAGATTAGAATTATCACTCAAACTCATTATTATTCCATTGTTAAAGTTAAGTATAGATAAGAGCTTCAGGAGCTGTAAAAACACGTCTGGTCACCTTGACTGCTTATCATAATATGCGTATCTTAATGAGAAAGTGAAAAGTTGAACACTATCCCGGAAATATTCATTTCTTTTTGTGAAAATAATTATGTAAAAACATCACTTGGCCATGAAAAGCGCTGCTAGAATCCTACTCTCCCGACACAGAAAAAAATATTCCAAAGCTTCGCAAGAAACCTTACCATTTTTTTTTTTTTTACATTTTGTACATTCGATCAAGGAATTGTCATCTATTAATGTTAACCACATTATTTTACTAACACTTTCCAAGTACTATAGAATACAAGCTTTCGATACAACCAAAAATTATGCTTCAAAGTATGTGGCGTAGTGTTGAACTTTTGGCATCTTTGTTGTTATAACGACAGAGGAAAGGCTGATCTGCGTCTGTTCATTATAAAAAAATATGATAAGAATAATTCAGCGTACCTTTTACTTAATCTTTAATTCCTTGTGAATCACACATAACATTCACGGTATATGCTTTAAAATTCCCATTTCACATCAATTCTCGTCACGTTTAATTTTCACTCGGCAAATATTTGATAACTAGTTATGACGTCATGGGTTTGGTATTTAACCCCCGTGATAAATACTTAGCTATTTATACCATCCAAAAACGACAAAATTAAGTTTATATAATGTTTTTGAATGATTCCATTCATTTCTTGGACCTGAAATTGAACTTTAAATATAGATAATAAGAAATCATTATGTCAAGTTCACGTCATACAGCTTAATATGACGTCATATTGTATAGGCAAGTAGGATATTCCTGGGTGTAGCCTTTACATACCCGCGCCCCCTCCCCCTTGTAAATCAGGGATCGACACACTCCCTTCTTATTTATAAACTCTGAGTAATATGCGTTACATATTACCGATAATATAACCCTTTTGTCTCTATAAACTGTTTTAAATATCCTGTTTTCGACTGATAGCATACATGAAAGGGTGAAGGTAATGAACAGTGATCAATCTCATAAAATACTTAAACCAATTCAAACATGTGAACAGGGCATAAACACGGACCCGACGGAAATTCCAGAGGTGGGATCAGGTGCCTATTTGGAGAAAGCATCCCATGTTAACCGGTCACACCCGCCGTGAGCCCTATGTATTGATCAAGTACACGGAACATTCCGCAGTCAAATTTACTACAAAACAAAGGCCTAACAATTGTAAGAATTAATATATGAAAGAATTCTTTGATTAAATTGAAAAAAAAAACCATCCACAGGTGAAACTGTTAACGATTAATTTTTGCAATGCTGTCGTCATTCACAGTTTTGGAAAAAAAGAGAGGAAGTTTGCAATTTTTTATCGTCGGCTTCACCACCTCCCCTAGACTTCACGTGATTGTAAGTTAAAAGTGGACAAACATGGAATATGCATACATCTTAAAAGGTTGTTATACATTATCCTTTCCTTCATTCTTCCATTTAATTTCTGAAGACCACCGACTTGTAAGTATTTCAATTAAATCACTCAAATCTAGAGAAAATTTTGTTGGTCTGCTGCAAAGAAAAGGTTTTTCAAACAAATTTTTGTCAGGAAAGTTTCTAACAGAAAAGAAATGAACGTGGTCCATGTATACGTAGGCTTTTTGACTATTCATTCTATTCAATTTTTGAATGTTTTAGGATTTACTTGTACTTACAAATATTACACATGGGTCCTTTCCATCCGGCAGAACATTTACTACAGTTTCCATAGAAACGATCACAGGTTTCACCATTTAAACAGTTTCCACTGCACCTCTCTAAGCAGCCTTTTCCATACTCTCCGCTCTCACAGGCTGAATTATATGAGAGATATTTGCTATTTCATAAACATACCTCTTTTATTGTTTATCCTATTTCGTCTTTGATTGTAGTGAAAAAAGAAAAAAAATCACAGGTTAAACTGCTACCGTTTAATTTTTGCAATGTTATAGTCATTCACAGTTTTGGAAAATTATTTACAAAACTTTACAAGCATATTTACCAAGGTTTATTTATGTATATACATTTCATTAACAAATACAAAAAGAGGAAACAAGAAAACGAATTTTGTCAATTTTTTTGGAAAACTTTATTATTCATATATTCTTAGGGCAGGTATGTTCTTGTAAATGTTTGGAATTTTTGAAAAGTTTCATCTCAAGATTATGTTGGCAAAGTTTACAAAAGAAAGAGACACCTCAGTACTCTTCTTACCTTACCGCATTGAAGAGTTAATCTAAAACATACTTTGTTTTTACTTACAGACATTACACATAGGACCTTTCCATCCAGTAGAACAGTAGCTACAGTTTCCATAGAAACGATCACAGGTTTCACCATTTAAACAGTTTCCACTACACCTCTCTAAGCAGTCTTTTCCATATTCTCCGATATCACAGGCTGAAAGAATACAATCATATAAGTATTGTAAGCTCCCCATGGATGGCCATCCTGGAATGGGGGCTTTGTAATATACTTATGCAGTATTTCTTAGGTCAATCCTTAATTTTTAATTCATGTTTCTCAGTTAAGGCAAGACTTTTATCAATTAAAATATCGGTTTATAAATTGGTCTTGCAACAGGAGATGACAGTGTGGTAAAACAAACATCTATGTTGGATATATAGATATTTAGTATATTTGTTTTGGTCGTTTACGTCAACCGTTACTTTTAACGGTAAAAAAAGGTTGATTTGGAAATAACATAAAAAATATGGTTTCGGGCTGCATTTAGAGACAAACTTTATTAGTTCGCGATGTATTTGAGGTCAAGAATTTTACTTGTGGATCACTTGTTTTTGAAACCGTTCTTCAAGGTTCTTGCAAGCTCACGTTTTGATATTAGATGGTAGATCTGTCTCCGTCTTAGTCTCGAGAAGGATCTATTTCCCTCGTATAGTGCTGCGTGTATTGTTCTATTCCTTCGTCCAAAAATGGTAGCAACTGTTCCCTTGCTAAGCGCTGGGCACTTTGAAGTGAAAGTTACGGGTCTTCTGGACGAGACCTTAAAAACCAAGGCCTCTATTGTCGCAGGTATTTGCACGATAAAAGTGTGCCATGACCCTAATTGCTGAGTAAAAGACTTAATTTGAAATCATTCGCTGGTATATGGTGCCGTCTCATTCGAGTGATATAATCTTGCAACAGACGTAAAATATCAATCAATCAATAAAATAAAAAATATCAATAACTATTCTAATGAAATGCGTTCTGGAATTTATTTAAATCTGGTCCCATGCCAGAGTCAATATTATACATACAGTGTATATAGTTATCTACAGCTTTACTGATACAGTAGTAAAATACAAATCAACCCATCATCAGCATCAGAATTCCAGTATTTAATTTACTTTGCAAAATATGCGTTAAACTTTATTTTACTTGTAAAGAGATTTTGCAACACTTCTTCAAAGACAAGCAAATAATTAAGAAATAAGATATCATTTTTAGAGTTTCATTCGGATAGGACATAAAGTTGGTCACGTGATCAAATTCTATAATGCCCGAAGGGCGTTATAGTAGATTTGATCACGTACCAACTTCATGTCGTATTTCAATGAAACTCTAAAAATTGATATTTTATTTCTGATATTTATATTTTATTTTCATTTGTGTTACACAGAAAAATATTCATTATTAAGACTTTGTTATGAAAATGCAACATAACATACATGTACGACGTCCTCTGACGTCACAGTCTAGACCTTCCAAAGTCTCCTGCAATTTGTTTTCCATACGCTCGAAAGTCTGATCACGTAACAAACTGTGTCATTGAAAACTGAATGTCAGTTAAATTTGTACTGACATATAAGGAAATGCATTGGCAAATGTAAATATACAAGTTTACTTGCATGTAATTCAAGCACAATTTTAGTAATATAATTAGTTCGATTCAATAATCTGATTACGTTTCAGAGTTGCAAAAAAATCATAAAACCTTAGGTGACCATATTAGGGGCTATATGGGCCTCCCAAATTTAAGGGTTTGAGTAGTCCATATTGATATTTTCAGGTACAAATTTCCAAATCGATCTTTTCGTATCATAAGTATAATCTGCGGGCCAGTCTATTATATATCTTTGTATTTTAGCACCATTTGTTTCCCCTAGTGATGTACCGATTAATTGATTAAATCGACTATCTAATCGAAACGGTCCCTGATTATAGATAATCGATCATAATTTTTATAATCGATTACTCGAACTATTAGTTTCTGTAAAAGCAAATTATTGCTTTGATTTTTGATTCATTCTTCTTTGAATTTAACTAAATCCTATGTAATAGTCTAATAAATGAACCCAATGATACAAACTATTTTAAAAATGTATTCTAGAAATCACTCCAGAATTTCTAACCCATATATTCTTCAAAAATTTAATATTTGATATTGATCGATTTTTAATCGATTATAGTGCATCCGATTATTCTGATAATCGATTATGGAAAAAAAAATCCCGATTTCCCATCACTAGTTTCCCCTCACATAGACATAAAGTTATTTCTATTCAGAGTATAGAAACCCTTTGTTTGTTGGGAACAGTGAAAACGGAAGTATATTGAATAGTAAGAGAAAGCCACGGTCAGATTCCAGAAAAGTTCTTGCTCATAAAATTCTTCCTCACGAAGTGGGAATTAAATCCAGAAGAGTAGATTGTCCATAAACAAAATAATCATTTGAGAGTGAAGGAGCGGTTATTGCAACCCGGCTGCGTTTAGTAACTATAGATTTCATGTATACATTTTTTAGCGATAAAACGGTTTTGAACACAATAATTAGCTGTATTAACCTGCGATGGTAAAATATTTTGCATTGTATTTTTTAGTGCAGAATAAGATAAGATATGGAAGAAAGAAATGACTAAACCCTAAACCTAAAAATAAACGGATAAATAAAATGACGATTGTCAGTTGCTGAATATATATTGATGTCAGATAGAACAGGTGAGATGGAGAACTATTGAAACATATAGGCCTAGCAAGTGAAAATATTTCTGTCATTCTACTTTTATCAATAAAAACATTTCTGATGGAATATGAATGATGGAAAGCCGAGATCTGTACTAAAGTGCATGATTATTGTATACTATGAGTGTGAGAACCTGTATGCGTAGCTTTATGTGCCATCTGTAAAAACCTTTTTGTGTACATCCTGGAGTGTATTTATTAAATCTTGTGGTAAGCACATAACGTGCGTGCATCGAGTTCACGTTTAATGGTCTGCATTATTGTATATCTCCCTCATCGGTCAAAGGTTTATCAGTAAATATGACTGGACACTAGCGTTTGAAAGCTGTCTTCAAGATGTCTTTTTAGGCAGGCCATAGAAATGTTTGTTTTTTGCTTGTTTTGTTTGTTTGTTTATTGTTTAACGTCCCTCTGGAGAATTTTTATGGAGACGCTACCACTTGCCGGTGGAGAGCTGCAAAATTTTTACCTATACTCGGCACTCAGGGCCATTGAGCAGTGAGGGATCTTTTTCGTGCCAACACCTACTGCGATACGGGACCTCGGTTTATACGGTCTCATCCGAAGAACGGGTCTCCACGTCCCACAGTAGGATTTGAACCCGCGATGTAAGGATCCACTCCTTACTCCGCGACTCTAGAGCGAACGATCTAACCACTGCGCCACGCGGGCGACTAGAAAGATTTGAAATCATTGAAATGAATTGCAAAAAGGGATAATGTCAGCAAGGTTCCTAGCAAAAAATAATTGTATTTTGAGAAAGTCCCCACCTATTCTTCTGATAATTCCTTAATCTAAAAGAATTCAAAAATACTTCGTTAATAAAGTACTTACAAATATTACACATAAGACCTTTCCAACCGACAGAACAGTAGCTACAGTTTCCATAAAATCGGTCACAGGTTTCACCATTTAAACAGTTTCCACTACATATTCCCTGACAGTCTTTTCCATATTCCCCGCTGTCACAGGCTGTATGATGAAATAGATATTTATATTTACTTAAACAGATATTTCTTCCATTGCTTCGCTGATTTCCTGTTTGATTAAAAACAAGAACAATGTCAACTATTTTTATTCAAACTTCAATAGTACTTCTAACATACTAGTAATCTATACCACTTTTTTATTAAATGGAACAATTCTTTCACTCAATACTAACATGACTATTATTGTCGCCGATATAATATACAGATGAGCGCAACAGAAAATGCCCTAACAACAGATGACATATGGACACTAAAATTCAACTTTAACTACTAAATCAAAGGGTTCTTAAAGCTTTAGATGAATCTTATACTTCGCTTTAAACATAATCAAAGTTTGTTAATCTTCTTAAGGGTTTGAGGCTTACAAATATTATTTATTAATGCAAGCACTAGGGAACGATTGGTACATTTGGAGAGGTTTTATCACAAACGTTATGTTGGCCAACTTTCTAACAGAAATATAGACGTGGTCAATATAGGTCCCTTTCTATATTTCCGTGTTAAAGCTTATTGTAAGATGAGATGCCTTGTTTATACTTACACACATTGAAGAGTTAATCTAAAACATACTTTGTTTTTACTTACACACATTACACATGGGACCTTTCCATCCAGTAGAACAGCTATTACAGTTTCCATAGAAACGATCACAGGTTTCACCATTTAAACAGTTTCCACTGCACCTCTCTAAACAGTCTTTTCCATATTCATTGTATTCACAAGCTGAAAGAAGATATTGAAATTATTTGTACGTGTATTCCTTCATATTGACATACAGTTAGTTTACAGAGGATGTTCATTTGATATATTCGACTGGTACTCTTCCAATGAAAAAGTAAAATCAAACCACCTCCGCCAGGAAAATAAGTATTTCTTTTAAAGGAATGATCGGAATAAGATATCAATAGTCAGCATATCATGAAATTCTTGAAATATTAAGTTTTTTTTTTAAAAAAGACATTTAAAGACAATTGTAAGTGATTTTAATTAAAATTTGTTCGATGACTATGCAATTTTTTTTTTATTTTACATTATTTCTCAATTTGCATAAACGAGAGCAATTATGCATAAAATTATCACGCAAGTAAACTGATGACTATCATCACAGAACCAAAAACCAGAGGCTATTTCCTGATGTTTACATTTTCACTTGATTCTTGGTTCAACTTTTTTTTCAATAATACGTAATCTCAGCAGGGGTTAAGTTGCACACAGCGAGAAACCATGGTGTTCTGTTACGAGAAATCGCTTTATGAGGATATAAATGTATTATGTTATTTGTACTTTATCTCGGATAAAGAAATTTTAAAATGAAAATTAATAAATTGCCTTCAAGATACCAATATTACATTAAAAGCAGAAACTATGGTGCTATGATTTCTTTTTTAGTCATATTTCTCAAACCCCAAAGGTGTAGAAGTTCTTATTTAAAACGATTTTGAAATGAATTTCCGTCTCAAAGCAAAGTGATGGTATTTCCATTTTATTAGAATTTACTACCGATAAAAAATACTATTCTGTTATGTTTATGGACCAAATAATGATAACTCAGCTTGCTACACAAAATTGCGAGAATATATTGATGGTTTTCAAAATGAGAATGTTATAATTTGTGGTTTCAAAAAGTTACAAAAAATAACGAAAAAAAATGTAAAAGAAAATGGTGAAAACAAAATGTATTTTTGATATGAGCGTAAATATTACAATTCTTATAAGAAATAATTCAAATATCAAGAGAATTTGAGGTCACACAGAAAGAAAATAAGATAACTATCTTAAACAGGTCTTTTATATTGGACGGCAGTGATAAGTCTCTACAAGAAAGTTTAAAAACTTTGAGATACTTTGCAAAAATATCAACGCTTCACATTAACCATAATAAAAAACAAGTTATATCGATAGGAAGTAAGAAACATACTTAAGGTCGATGCGCAATTCTAATTATTAAGATTATCAGGACTCTTCTTCCCATTTAAAGACTATGAGAAATAAAAACACTGAAAATGGAAAAAAATGTAATTCTTTAAATAAAAATAAAAATGCACAAGAAAATGTATACTCTGCTTAGGCAAAGATTGTAAAAAAAAAAAATCTTCGGAAAACAGAAAAAGGTATATTATATTAATCTTATTGATATATAAAATAAAAATAATATAAAGAAGTGAAACTGAAATAGAAAATAGAAATGCAAAATAAAAAGTTGATTTTTATGAAACATCAAGTCAATTGCAACACATGTAATTTTTATACATTTTAAGTCAACACATGTGATTTTTATACATTTTAAGTCAACACATGTAATTTTTATACATTTTAAGTCAACACATGTACATGTAATTTTTATACATGCATATGCTTTCCCGGCATAGAACAACTGTCAGACCAAAAAGCACAAATGACCACAATGGTCAGCTATCTTTTATGCATTGACTAGGAACAGCAAACATTTCAAAGGTTCAATAAGTACGTGTATAGCTTTACTAAAATCTAGTAAAAAATTCTGCATATTAAACCTAAGAAACATCTGTCCCGTTGGTCACTCAGCTCTATATTCTGCTCTTTTGTATCTAAGAAGACATGATGGCACCATTTCCAAAGTATTAAGATTTAAGATCACCTGACCAAACAATTCATTAGCTATTTCTGCAAAAGCAATGATAGCCCTAACAATTTCTAAACTGCATTCAACATCACAATATCTGACAGCGTGAATTTTTTCTAGAACACATATCAGTTCTCCAACTGTTCTGTTATCACATAACATAAATTTCAGAACCAGTTACTCTACAGGTGATAAAGACCTCAGTGATTGAAAAGAATTGTTATGTTTCTAACCTACATGATAAACATAAAACATCGAGATTATGAATATCCCATATATTTTTCCTTTGCCATGAAAACTATAACTTGATACTGAGGTCAGGGGTAGGTCAGGTGTGTATTACTATTTTTCAAGAATTGAAAAGATGTAAAACGCACGGTCGTTTGGTGTTTATCAAACTACTAGATTATATATATATATATATATATATATATATATATATATATATATATATATATATATATACTTATACTATATTACCAAGAAATATTTATTAACAATCAAAATTAAGAAATGACAAAATCTAATATCTAAACTCATTAAAACGCTGCTACTTTTAAGAAACAAAAAAAAAATATGTACGACATAAAATTTCGTCACTTTTCTCTGAAATGTAATTTAGAGTATGTGAATTACCAGGACTTACACATATTACAAAAGGAGCCTTTCCATCCAGTAGGACAACTGCTACAGTTTCCATAGAAACGATCACAGGTTTCATTATTCCAACAATTTCCACTACAAAGTTCTAAGCAATCTATTCCATACTCTCCTGTGTCACAAGCTGTAAAGAAGACATTGATAAAGCTATACTTATTTCGGGACAAAATTAATGACACATAGTCCTGGCCCCACCGACACAAAACTTTAAGAATTCTCAAAAAAATTCTCAACTCAAGTCTTGAGAATTACTCAGCTAAGAATATTCTTAAGGATATCCGATCTTCAGTCAGGAAGGATAACTTTTTAATCTATAATTTAATTCAAAAAGTCTCAAAATGAAGCTTGAAATAGAAATCTTTTTATGCAGCAATTTTCATTCTATGCCTCTCAATGTGATTCAAGGTCCTTTGGGGTTCTTAGAAATGGTATTATAAAAAGTTGATATTTGTACCTCATAAAAGTATTTTAAACATTACATATTTAAAGAAATCGAAGTTCTTTTAATCTAGCCTTAGATACCAATGTTTATTAGCATGATATAGAATTAAAAGTGATTTATGGTGTTTTGCTATGATAGGAAATACTTTATACACTATGCAATACAAAATAATCAAAGTAAATAGAAGACACTAAAGTACTGTATAAGTATAAAAATCATGAAATTTTCTTCAAAAGCCTGGATACCTATGACTTTTATTCTTAAAATGTATCTGTTGATCAATTTTCAATTTGAAAATGCATAGCAGGTGTTTTTATTCGCATTTCCAGAAAATTTATTTGAGATTTAGTAATTTTCCGATTATAATATGATTAACTTTAAAGATGAAGTCTGAAAATTACCTTGGGTAATTACACATTACTTTGAGAATTCAGAGACATTTTTGTGAGCATTTTCAATTACTCAACTCCTGAATTTCAAAACCTAAGGATGGGATTACCTTAAATTCGCTGCCAAAAAAGGATTTGAGAGTATTCTCAGCTGAGTAATTTTCAATACTTGAGTTTAGAATTTACTCAAGATTATTTTCGCGAGACTGTTTTCGTGGATCTTTCTCAATGTTAAAAGCGGCCCAGTGGAACTCTTTAGTGGCGAAAGGGCAGAAATTGTTGGGAAAACATATAAACAAATTCGGAACTGTCATATATGTCGTCTGCATTCTGAAATATTAGGATGAAAGTCGCGGAGAAAAGAGCTAAAGCTCAATGTTGGAGCACAGAAGTGGAAATAGCATTGAAAAAAAATGTTAAAGAGAAGTCTATGACGCTGTTTGGCTCATTAAACTTGGAAGCGGGGTAAAGGGCAAAATAAAAGACATCAGAGAAAAGGAGAAGAATGCCATTGATGACAAATTAAACTCGATAGTTTGTTTTTTTAATGGAAAAATTCAAAGCATATTACACTTTGAAATACCTAATACAGAATACAGTCTTTAATCAAAGTAGGTTAATTAGTGCAGTTGTTAGGCCAGATTTCAAAATTATTACCGTAAACATGTATGTTATTTAATGCACAATAACTGTATATTAATATGTACGCATGGCTTTTTATGCTTAAATGGTTCTACCTTTGTGGCAGACTTGTGAATACTATATAGATGTTTACACCAGCTATACACGATAAAGATTCATTTGCATTGCTAAAAATAAAGAAGGAAATCCCCTTTTTGTTTACTTCTGGGTTTTTTTTTTTTATTTTCTAGTCACAGACGTCTCACCAGTTGGAAACACTATGATTCTCATGAACCTCTGGATGATTGCAGCAGCTACTGCCTCAACAAAACGCCCAGCTAAAGACTCCTGAAACGGTTAAGAGTTATCCCCCTTTTGTCAAATTGTTTTATTCAAGAAATCATTGTAAATAATGTAATTAACGGGTCATTTGATTATATGATAATACAATAAGGAACGTTATATACTCGTAGTATTTAAAAACAAACTAAAAATAATTGTTTGGTTAAGATGAGCAAAGTATGCTCAGGAACAGTTAGAAACGGATTCTTGCCAGTGAAGACACTTAACGTAGGTCGCGGGTTTGCAGGCCTTTTAAAAGTGTCCGAAAACATACCATGAAAATTAGTTATATGATTCCTCTACCTTTGTTTAACATTCTCTGAAAATTTTATAAAATTCGTCTGCATCGTTTTTATGTAATTAAATCCCAAAGATGCCATTGTTGTAGTAACATTTTCAACGTTATTGTATTGAATTATATAGGAAAAACGTCGATTTCGGCTCGTTTTTAGGCAAGATTTTTTCTCAAAAAATATCATTAACTTTTAAATGGTGCAGACGAAATTGTCCCCCCTTTCGTATCTTAAAATAGAATTGATTTGAAATAAATCTATGTGAAAAAATTAATATGTCTTCGGGTTTGTTTTCTCGTAATTTAAATGTGGATAATTGCTTTTATATCGCAAAATTTAACATTTTTAAGAACTCCGTCATAAAATATCGCGACGTCAAGCTTGACGTCGCGAATATCGATCCGGTATACAGAGCAGAAAAACAAATTAAAATATTTATAATTCACGTCTATCTGCTTTCATATGACCCACGAATCGTTTCATAATAATTCAATATCAATGAAATGATTATTAGACATGTGTCTCTTCTAATATTCTTTGCACGTCTCATATTAGTGAAAATTATCTCAAGGGACGTAAAACGACAATCAGTCCTTTAGTTTCTTTCTTTCAATGTATTTTCTTTATGTGTTGTTTTCTTACCGTTTCTTTTCTTTTTGTTTTGTTTTGTTTTCTTTTTCGTAGATAAGTATCCTACATTTGGCTGTGTATTTTTTCTGCGTGCTGGCGGAAAACGGTTATCCTCTTATTCAAGTATACATATGAAATGTTTTTATTTAGAGTTTTCAGCAATGCGCTCATAGCTACGATAACTTCTTAATGAATGAATTTCAGCCAAATATCGTCCCGGCTAAATAAATTGTATTTTCAGTATATATTAAAAAAAATGTTTTTATTTATTTTTACATACAGACAGGGGATAACTAAAAAAAATCTGAACTTGATTTTATGATTTTATGTGTAAGAATAGAAAAAAAAAACAAACGAACGAGGCATTTTTTAGAGGGGTAAATGGGACGAGAATCTAAAAATTAATTTTATCTGATCATGACGTAATCAACAGGCAAATCTTTTTTTTTTTTTGGGGGGGGGGGGGTTCAAAAGACGTTCAATGTATATAACATTAATTCGACTGGTTGGACATGGAAAGCAAAGTAGCGAATAAAATCTGTAGATAACAGCATTGTAAGCCGTTACTTACACAGGCACTAGGGGAATTGACCGCCCCCCCCCCCTTCCATTTTTTCTTTTTAAATCTGGGGTCGAGTCACCCTTTTCATATTTTTGAATTCTAATATGTACTATATGTTATCAATAATGTAACCCTTTTGTCTCTATAAGCTGTTTTTAAATATATCGTTTTCGACTGATACATAAAAATGCCCCCTTCCATTTTTTCTTTTTAAATCTGGGGTTGAGTCACCCTTTTCTTATGTTTGAATTCTAATAAGTACTATATGTTATCAATAATGTAACCCTTTTGTCTCTTTAAGCTGTTCTTAAATATATCATTTTCGACTGATACATAAAATGCCCTCCTTTTTTTCTTTTTAAATCTTGGGTCGAGTCACCTTTTTCCTATTTTTGTATTCTAACATGTACTATATGATCGATAATGTAACACCTTTTGTCTCTTTAATTAAGCTGTATCTAAATATATCGTTTCGACTGATACATAAAAAGAGAGATTTTCTCGTCGTTTAACTCACTTCTTAAACTTAAACGTCGCATGATTATTTATCTAAAGCATAAGAAAACATGAAATATGCAGACATCAATATTTTTTTTTCACACTCTTCTTCCGTTTCATATTTCCATTTAATTTTCATGTGCCCCCGATCAGTAAATATTTCGATTAAATAACCCGCATCTAAGGGCATCTTTACGGCCTAAGGGTAAATTGTCGGTATAAGAATACAAAAATAGGTAAAAGGTGACTCGACCCCAGATTTAAAGAGAAAAAATGGAAAGGGGGAATCCATATCCCAAGTCCCTGTGTTTACTTACAGGAGGTCAGTGTCGCTCAAAAAATGTATTAGTTTATGTTTCATAGTACCTTAGCAGTTTTTAATTTGTGATAAACCTTAAAATATATTTTTGAAATGTCCTTTTTAAAAATAAAGGTTAAACTTTTAATGTAATAGGTGTATTTGCGATTGTTTATATAATGATTTCTTTATTAATTAAACAAACCGTTAATTTATATACGTTTAAAGGAAAAGAGGTCAGTTGAAACTTGTGCCCATATCGTTTCGCGATACCATGTGATATCTAATCAATCGCAATTTCGCGGACCTTTCCGACAAGCCGAAAATTCCGAGCTCTCCGGGATGCGATTGATAACACATAATGAAACGCTTTCTAATACTTCCAGTGTTGGATTCGAATCGTAATAAGCCTTCATCATATTTGATAACTTCAGTTTGTTCTATAAATAATATTACACTAAACTACCATTTCCAACAAAAGTTATAGCTAGATAATGATGTATTGAAATTTCTTTTTCATTGTGACGTCAGTTTGTTTTATTAATAAAGAAGCCATTATTTTTAAAAAAAATCGCAAACACACCTGTTACATCAAAAGATTAACCTTTATTTTTAAAAAGGATATTTTTAAAATATATAAATCTACAAGTTTATCATAAATTAAATACTGCTAAGGTACGATGAAACATAAAGACAATTTTTTAGCGACACTGACCTCCTGTTAGGGGACAACTATTTGATTTTGAGGGAGATGGGGGTGGAAAATTTTACCAAGTAAGATTGTTTATTTTCATGTCGGTGAAGGACAGATTATTTATTTCTGCTTCACTGAAAAAAGTCTGACAAGCAAAAAAAAAAAAAAAAAAAAAATTAAAAAAAATACCAAGTTGAAAACTCCTATTGGAAGGGGGGGGGGGTGGTACAGAACTAGTCATGGGTCATGAACAGATTATTTATTTTCAACATTTCCGAGGACACATTATTTA